CTTCCTAAGTTTCTAGCTTCAAGATGGCATGTCCTTGTTGCCACAGAGGAAGTTACGTTAATGGTTGATCAGCCCCAGCAGCAGGCGTGCTGCCCTGCAACAGTCTCCCCAGCAGGTTCTTAAGTCTCTGGTCATAACCATAAAGACTGGCAAAATGACAGATCCAAGCAGTCCTGCCAGAGCTCCGATGTATCTGTAGATTATGTGCAGAAACGCACATTTACTTGCTCTTCCCATATGCTTAAGTCTTAACTCATCACTGAGATACAGGCGAATGGACAAGGTATCTTATAAACTCACATGCTTGTGAGGAGTATCTCGTTTGCAGCTTATTCGGCCATAGGTACTGGTGTTTATTTTGAGATAACGGGCTGTGTGTAGGGGGTGATTACATCTGACATGTGGAATGTTCTTTTCAGCTGGATCCTACTGCCAGTCAGCTGAACTCCAATGATGCTTTTGTCCTGAAAACTCCTTCTGCTGCTTACCTTTGGGTTGGCCAAGGAGCCAGCGATGCTGAGAAATCAGGAGCACAAGAGCTGCTGAAGACACTGGGAGCTCGCCCGGTACAGGTTTCTGAGGGCAGAGAGCCAGGTGAGGGAGGCACAACGGAGTCCGAGATCATGTCTGTGTAGCTGCACGCTCCCACTAATTATTTCATGGGTATTTTGTCTCCCAGCACAAGGAGATGGGGACATAGGCACAGAGGGACTTCTCCAAAATATCTTCATTACGTTTAACAGCACGGTCCTGCTTGTTGCCCTTTGGGACTGACACAGAAGGGTGCTTCACGTCCTACCCAAACCACGCTGCTGTTGTGGTTTACCATGAACAGTTGAAGCATCAGTATCTCTTTCTCTTCTTTCAGATAATTTCTGGGCAGCTTTGGGTGGAAAGGCTCCTTACCGTACCTCTCCCCGACTGAAGGACAAGAAGATGGATGCCCACCCCCCTCGTCTTTTTGCATGCTCCAACAAGAGTGGACGCTTCATCGTGAGTATCTAAGATACCAATTAATTCAACATCCGTCTGACCAAGCTGGGAGAAACTCGGTCCCAGCCTGCTCCGAGCCAACCAACAGGCTCTTGTTATACCTTGTACTTGGTGGCATTGCCTCCATCAGCACCATTTTTCTGCAGTGACATTGCTAGTTCTATCACGCTGTTGTGTCAGCAACTTTCTGAAGCATCAAACTAGTCCTCCCCCCGCTAACAAGTAGCATCCAGGCTCCTCAAATTTTAACTCGTGAATCTTTTGAGTAGAAAGAGGCAGTTACAAGTCTTGGGCATGAGTAAGACAGCTTCTCTAGGTGAACAGAGGCTGATTTTGTGTTCTGTGGTCTAAGGACACGTCTGTGACGTAGCGAGTTGCATGGTCAAACACCGTGCCAGTGTCTAGCTTAATGCATCTCACCGACAGGAGGTGAAACTAGAACTTCTGTGGACTGCCCTTCTCCTGTAGAGGTAAAATGGCGTTTAAGGTATGTGCTCACCTTAACCTTGTGTTTTCCAGATTGAAGAAGTTCCTGGAGATCTGACTCAGGATGACCTTGCTACAGATGATGTGATGCTCCTTGACACATGGGATCAGGTAGGTCGCTTTTACCCAGTGAGGTGAGAAGCAAAGAAGATGCACGAGTCGGCTGTAGATTGAGACCCAGATTACAACCGCTGGCAGAGCTGTTGCGTTCTAGAGCCCTTTCGTCTTCAGGCCTGAGAACAAACCACACCACTGACCTTACACCCAGAACTCAAGGGAAGGGTTGGTGTCCTGCCACTGCTTGCTCAGCTTAAGGGCTGAAGAAAACAGGCTGTTGTGTATCGCACGTGCTCCCCCAGCCTGTCCAGGGCTGTGAGGCTCCAGCAGTTTGACACTGACACGTTTTCTGTTACTTTTCAGTAACAGGCTGTGCATAAATCAGCCAAAAGGCAACTTAAGCTATGAATTGTGTATGTTTTATATAAAAACTTTCAAACATCTGCTGCTTTTTCCTGATAAGCTAGCATGTAATTTGTGTAGCTAGAATTTATGCAGATAAAACACAGTCTAAAAGCTTCTCGTTATCTACCCATAGCGTTAGCCACATAGGCCAACCAACCAGGCACACCTACGGGAGTAAGTTCTTGTTCTGCGTCACACTCTGTTCACTGAGACTTTTGTCTAAATTACCCTCTCTTTCACAAAGTGATCGATCGTTGCTGAAATAATTCATATGTGGGGTTTTTTATCTTTAGGTCTTTGTGTGGATTGGGAAAGATGCCCAAGAAGAAGAAAAGACTGAGGCTTTGAAATCTGGTAATGTCCCATTTTCTTCTCTGAACTAACCCTTTCTTTTTAATATACTGAGAAACATACCCTCGTCACCCTGTAAGATTCAACGTTGTGGTCAGCCGAAGGGATCCATCTCTTGAGGAGGATCTCTAAGATGGGCTCAAAGAGGTGCAGCAGTCAGCCTCGCTGCGCTCAGCCCCCCCCAGCGACGCTGCAGCCGCGTGGGGGCAGGTGGCTGCAGGCTGCCCCTGGGTTACAGCAGGTTACAATCCCAATGCCGCTTGTCTCCAGCCAAGCACCAGTCTTCTGCCAGGCGTAGGTGAAGCTACAGAGGGAAAACTTCAGTGTTGGCTTGGTGTTTTTTAATGAACAATCTAAAATCATCTGTATAGCATCCACTTAGCTACAGCGAAGCTGGGTCAGCTGTTGCTCCCCAAGACTTGCACTCTGAGATTTCCTTTCCCCGTGTGCTTGCAGCCAAACGGTACATCGACACCGACCCCTCCAGCCGGGACAAGAGGACTCCGGTCACCGTCATTAAGCAAGGGTTTGAGCCACCAACCTTCTCGGGCTGGTTCCTGGGCTGGGATGATGACTACTGGTCTGTCGACCCTCTAGAGAGAGCACTGGCGGACGTGGATGTCTAAGTAACAAGGGTTTTTTTTGTTTTTTAAGTGGAGCAAGTTTAGTGCCTTCAATGCCTTCAAGAGCTACTTCCTCCTGCAGGATGCACGTTAACAAGGCAATGATGTTAATAGCCAATTAGCTGTGCAATAATTACTGAAAACAATCATGACCAGTCATTGACCTTACTTCTTGCTTTGATTATATTTAATACAATAAAGCTTGTATGAAATAGGTGAAGAACAGAAATGATGGGGTTTGTTACAAAGAAGAAAACATTAACAGAACCTCCAGGTCCCAGATTTGAACTTGCTTGAAACAAACACACCGAGAAAACTCAACCTCTGTTGCGCCTCCTGCCCACGTGTGCATTTTACTGAGTGGTTAATTGGGGGCTGGGGATTGTGTTGCTTTCCCCTCACCAGAATGAGTTGCATTGAAGACCCTGATAAATTAACTTTCAGAAAGTCACTCAGTAGCAAACAGCATGGGCTTTTATTCAGGATGAGAGCAAAAACCGTGCTGCTGGTGTCAACAAGAATTCCCAGGGGCGGCCACCTACAGCAGTGGGAGTTATAGACTCACTCTCTTCCCCAAGGATTGACCTCAAGTGGTGCAGTTACTCTGTTTCCCACTTCAAATGCATGAGCACAGTACTGCTAATTATTACAGCTTCATTAACCATATTTCCCCCCCCCGCCCCCCCAGCAACAGTCAAGCTCAGCTCACATTAGCTGAAGTACCAACAACCACCTGCAGATATATATATATATATAATGCTTTTATGATGCAGAGGAAGGAAAAAAGTTGACAGCAAACAGGCAGAAGAGAAACAGTGCCCAGGGGCTCAAGCCCCAAGAGGGCTTGGGCATCTTCTCCTGCCAGGACAAAGGCACAGCATATCAAGGCACAGGAAAACAGCCTCTGCCCTTCCTAAAATACCTGTAAATACCGAGCTGAGCGTAGCAGAAAGGCAATAAAAATCAAGGTAGGAACTTCATGCTGGCTGGTGCGAGAAGGGCACTTTTACCGTTGATCTGGGCTTCTCGTTTTCATCGCCACCTCCCGCTAATTAAAGCTCAAATGCCAAACTCAGGGAGGTTGGTAGCCTGAAGAGCCTCCCCCCCACCCCAGGCTAATTATTCTCACTTTAATCTGTAATTACATCTACAACCAGGTACAAAATACAAATACAGTTTAACAACAGACTTACAGCTGAAGGTTACAGGAACTGAAAATTACATTCTTTTGGTATATAGTATGAGCCCTTAGTGTCACAACAAATATTACAGCATCAACAGGTAAGTCACTGATTTGTTGGAACAGATGGATCAACAGGACAGCACCTTCTGTTAAACAGCACCCCCTGCTCCCTGCAGAGATCTCGCTTCCTAGAGAAAGAGGTTTTAGACCTGGATAAAATGCAGGCGTCACAGCTTTGACTTTTTAAAATAATTTTTGAGAGACAGACAGATAAAGGCAGGCCCAACAAATTTTCAGTGCTTTAAAGCAGCCTAAATCCATCCAGGAACACCATCCTGACGCCACAACAGCCCCTCAGTGACTGCAAGCGCATTTTATCCATAACTACGGCCTGTTTATGCCCTTTCTGGGTGGCAGGACAGAGAGGGAAGTTCCACTAACAACTGCTTCTGATCAACAAGGGACTATATTAGATGGAGTGAGCCTGATTTTCAGAAGCACCCAGTATAGTGTTCTCACTCCTGTATCGACTTCCCTTACTTCTCCTTCTGCAAGCTAGAGAACCGGTCCATGTGACAGCAATCTGAGTCCAAGAGAATACAGTGAGGGCTGTTCCACTTCCCTGCAGGGCTACAGACCCATTTATTAAAAGGAACTCCTCTCTTTCCAAACGTTGGATCAGCTCATCTTCAGCTCAAAGGGTTTGAAAAGGGGAGGTTACAGGTTGAAGGTGTCCCCTCCAGGACAGTATGGATATGGGCTTATTTAAGATCACAATCTGCTTGTACTCAGTTTGAGAGGTTTTCAAATGTTTTCATTGTGAATATGCACAAACATGACACAGGTTATAAACACACTTAGTACAACAAAAGAGGTTCCTCAGCAAATCAACTTTAACACTGCCATAAGCTATAATACAGAGAGAATTTGGTGTTGCAAACGTTCACTGTAGCAAAAAAAAAACCCCACCCCAAACTCTCTCCTCCCCCTCTCCCTAGCGATTTGCACCTATGATGCCCTGCAGCATATTTATGGGCAAGGGGAAGACGATGGTGGAATTCTTCTCCGCAGCAATGGTGGTCAAGGTCTGCAAATAACGAAGCTGAAGAGCAGCAGGGGACTCTGTAATAACCATGGATGCCTCTTTCAGGGCCCTGGAAGCATTCATTTCACCCTCAGCTGCAATCACCTGGGGAAGCAAAATGCATTACAGTGAATTCGTTCTGGCAGAGTAATAAATCTGGAAGTCTGCAGGATGACTTCAGCCTTAAATCATAAACCAAAGACAGGGCTCATCCCTCTGATCAAGTGAACTCCCCTTATCGGTTCTGCCTTTTCCCTCGCTCAGGCAGACGCTGCCCCTGTTGGCTTTCAAGGCCCTGTGTGCCCCTCCCTCCCGCTCAGGATCAGATGCCGGATCACAAAAGCTGGCACCGTGTCCTGAAAACGCAACGCGCGCATTTGCTCTGTTTTCAAAACCTTCTTTTGGGCGTCTTTCAGCACGGCTGCTCATCACCAGAAGACGCTCCCCACAGCCACCTGAACGTACTTTTTACTTCAAGGCGGTTTTTGGTCTCTGCAAGCCTGGACAGGTGAATGACATGCTTCCTCCTGGGGAAATACCTTTGTATTCCCTCCGTCTTTTTAATTATGAGCTCATTAGGGCCAGATTTGTGGTCATGCGTGTCTTTTCAAGCAGGGCCCTTCCGCACTGGGACAATCTCGCCTGCATGAGCCACGATGAAACAGAGCAAGTGCCCAGACACAAATCCCCAAGAACCCCCGCCCTGCACCCCTGTTTGCTACAACCCAATCTGGCTGGGAATCTTCATCCCCTACATCATCACATCAAATTATTCACAAATAAAAAAAAATAACCCAAACCCACAGGTCGATGTTATTACCTTAGCTCTTGCCTCCCGCGCAGCTTCTGCTTCTGCAGCCATTGCTCTCTGCAGCTGGACAGGCAATTTCACATCCTTGATCTCCACACGTTCCACCTTAATGCCCCAATCATCTGTGGCCTCATCAAGCGTGGCCTACGTAAGGCAGGACAGTGACGTTAAGCCACCTACGTGGCTGCAACTCGATGTCCAAATTTGAACAATGACCGATAAACCGAATGAATTCTCTTAAAATTCTTGGACTTCAAGGGCTTTTGTATTTACATTACAATTTGATCAATATAAAAGCATAACTGTGGTAAACTAACAAAAACCCCCCGGAGCTTGATTAATATAGCGAGGGAATTCTGTGGCATAATTTCCTTCAGCAGCGGAGTACTGCCATACTGACCCAGGGAAGCCCTCCTCTCCCGTACCCCTCATTCCCACTTGCCAGCCCCGCCGGTCCATTGTTGGTTTAGTCACTCAGTTTTGTTACGCGGAACAATCCCGACAGCTCCTGAGAGGGTTTTGCCTAAAGCTGCAAATCACAACTTGGCTTAACGCTTCGGAGACCTCTAAGTTACCCGTGGGATTGCTGCTTAACTGATCGTTTGATGGATTGCTTAGGTAAAGCTGCTCATACCTGCATGCTGTGTGCAATTTCTTCACGATCAGAGAGAATCTGAGAAAGGTTTTTGGTCCCCAGAACATTCCTCAAAGTAGTCTGTGCTAACAGACGGGTGGCTGAGTCAGCATTTGTGATATTTGCCACAGCAAGGGTGGCATTCTGAACTCTGTAATAAACCACTCCATCTACGTTAATTGTCACAGAGTCCTTGGTCAAGATCTAAAAGGCAATGGGGAAAGAATATAATAATTAAGCATATATTTATCAAATATAATGGTAATTACGTACTTGTTTTACTCAACAAACTCCCTAGTTTTTCCAGGGTAAAGCAACTGTCTGGAAAACAGGAGGTCTTACAGAGGTATGCTGCACGTGAACATGTCCCTGTACAGATGCAAACCTTCCAGTATAGCTCTGCAAAGCTGAGACTGAATATGGGATTAGAACACTTGTCATGGAAAAATAAATTCCCTCAGCTTCGCTATAATGTTATTGCTAACTCCCTTCTTCAGATTCACAGAGGGATCTGCAATTCCTACAAGTGACAGGAAAAAATCCACCAGAATGAACCGAAATACAGATGCTCTTTCACCTGGGCACCTTTACCCTGACCCCAGCAACCCAGCATAACCAGGGAGGTCCCGCCACTGTATTTTGGTGAGGCTTGTAATAACAGATGTGTAAGAGGCCGACTGACTGTGCAGGAGGTACGTGTAGCGAGGGACCAAGGTAACAGAAGAGGCTCCGAGAACATCTGCACTCGAAGTTATTTTGTTTAAAGGCAGAGAGAGGAATATGGGACCACAACGTCCAAACTGGGCTGAAGCACTCTAGCGAAGAGCACACGCTGGAAGCATTTACGAGAGGCTCATTTGATGCTTCTGTACAGAGGAAGAGGGCTGATGGCGAGTGCAACTGCGAATCTGGGACACGTTAGATTTTCACTGGTATGTAGCTTCAGTCACAAGACTACTGAGTTAGCAGGACAACTCTGCAGGCGTGCCGGTTTATAAAAGGAGGGCAAACCACAACCTACTTAAAAAGCAGGCGAGGGAGGGGCAGTGGTATTCCAGCTTCACTTTCAAAGGACCACCGCGAACGAGCTCCCCGTGCTGCAGGTATGATGGGACCTGAAGGCGGTTTGCCATCGCTGCGTATTCCAGCACACAGGAAGGGCCAATGCTCGAGACTCGAGCCCAGCAGTGGCTGTGCCAGGTACTTTACAGAATTGCAGAGACCTTGTAAAAAAAGGATGCCAGTGTCCAACGAAGCTTAGAGAAATGCAGAGCGGGGCCCTGAGACATTTTGGAAGAAACTGGAAGGTTTCACTGAGGTCTGTCCAGCTGCTTACAGCTGGTGCTGCCTGTCCCAACAGCCTGATGTATTTCAGCTGCGGGGGCACCAGCCTTACCTCAACACTAATTACAAACATCTCTGTTCTTATCTAGCAGTTCGTGGAGGTACTTCTGATTGAAATGCCACCTTGTGCTCCTAAATGAGTACGTGGTGGTTCCTGGACAAGTCGCAGAGGAAATTCAATTTGTGAACACCCTCAGAGTAGGATTCAAGTGATTTACTGAATTTAACACTTGTATGTTAAGCAAAAGACATACTTGCAAAGATAAAGGCAGATATTCTTGAAGGTTTAGAAGAGGGTACACCAGAAAGAAGCATTAATATTAATTATATTCTGAAGTTAAAAAGAGAATGAAATATGCTGCACAACCATGAGAAGTGTCCTAATTCCATGTCAGACAATTACTATTATTTTATTTGACAAGGGAGAGGGACACGAGAGTACTCAGCCTTCAAGACTTCCCTGCTGTCCTTCCCCAAACTGCCTATTTTTGCAGGCTTTTCACAATAGCGTAAGATAAACAAAGAATGAGTAGCCTGCCCAGAAATCTTGTTGTACAAGTAAAAATCTATTTCTGCTTTACCTACTGAAAACAAACCAACCTAAATCCATAAGGATAATTTAATCAAGCCAAAAGAAAACCTGTGGAACTGATGGCTTCTCTCACTAACGGCACAGCGGCAGCTGCAAGCACATTTTGCCTGCCCGTGATTAGGTTTCTACCAATTACCCTTTAGAGCGTACCGCCACGGCTGCCATTTGTCTAAATCTACCACTAATGATGAGCAATAAAACCGAGGAGCAGATGTGACAGGAAACAGATGCACCAGACAGGCTGCGTCAGGCATCTCTGTCTTGCAAAATACACCAGACACACGAGGGCTACAGTTATCAACAAACAATTGTTCACCAACTTGTTTTCAGAGGGCTAGTTGGGTTTTGGTCTGTTGTTATCCATCGAGATGGCATCACTGGGTTCAGCTAGCTTAATGCTGTGGAGAGATTCTGCTAAAAAATACGATGTTCAAGGAAAAACAGACTAGAAATAGAAGTAATTTTTTTTTTGTTCTTTAGAACCTTCAAACTGAAAGACATCAGACGCCATTAGGTGCGGTGCTGCGTCATCATGCTCCTGTGCACGGCTGGTGCGGACCGTTACCCCGAGCTGCTGTTAACAGCATTGATGTATGCAGTGATTTCATCCCATTATTTTAGCTAGAGTATATATCTGAATAAATTGGCATAGGAGAGATCACTGCTGCTTCTGGAAATCCTCCAGATTTTCCAGAAACAATTAGAGAACGTTGCATGAAGTCCAGCAGCCTTCATTCCAAACCCCTCCCATCCTAGCTCTCGGGCAGTATTAAGTTCTCTTATTTGGTCCCTAGAGGCAGCATCGTTTGTTTTCTTTCAGGGATCTCCTCTTACCGAGTGATATTACTAAAGATACGTGTATTCTTCACAATACCCTGAACCCACCCAAGAAATACGTTAGAACCCCAGGCTACCCAATACTGAGAGGGGGAAAGGAAAAAGTGCAAAAAAATTCTGCCAACACTTGAGCACAAAGTGCTAACACAAGGCCACACAAAGGCAAATGCAAACTCACCTCTTGGGGAGGAATATCAAAAGAGATGGTCCTCATATCAACTTTGATGAAGCTGTCTGTGCAGGGCAGGACAAAAAACAAACCTGTACAAAAACATCCATTGAAGATGTGAAAATGGGTCATTAAAACAGATAGAACTTGCTACTGAAATAAGCTCAAATCCACCCACTGCGGCTGTACAGCCCTCTTTGTAACGAGCTCAGCAGCGTGGTTGTTAGTGGCTTTCAAACCAGGGTAAGATTTTCAAAAAAAGTCTGCTGAGAAACTTCAGTTTATTCAGGTCTAACTTATTCAGAGATCTTTAATGTTTGGGGAAAATAAAAAAACCACCCAGAACTGCTAACAGCTACTTTTGAAAATTTGTTCCACATAGTTACTTGTGGGGCCTAGTTCTGGCAAGCAGAAACTATCGCTCTCCTTTTGTTCTGGTGGATCACTGCAGTTCCTCAGCTTCACAGCAATGTGGAAGTATTGCAAAACCTGGGTGACAATGAAGGAAGAAGCTCTTGCCCCTTTCTGCCCCTTTCAGCAGCAGGAGCAACAGCTGAAAATAACGTTCTTTCTGACCTCATCAGAATTTCTAATATACACTGGAAACTTTTCAAAACTATCAAATAGTTTAACAGTTCTTCAAAAGAAACAGAAGCATCGAGGCTCTCGGACCACTCGGGTTTTAACGGACATATTGAACCTCTGTCTTAAAATGGCCCATTTGGCGCCATTATTTCTCCCTTTACATTCTGAGCTTTTGATTCCACCTGAAGACCGTGCATTAACTGAGGGGATCTGGGTAGGGCTCACGGGTAATTGCTTTACTGCTTTCTCCATGGAAAGCAACACACCGTCTTACTGGAAGTTACAAAATTCTTGAGAAATCCATTCGCCTGCCTAACGCAGCGTCCCTAGACAGCCATTATTTTGCCGATGAGTTAATTAGACCAGACATTAAGAATGCTCTCCAGGCCATACCTGGTCCCTTCGCTCCCCCTTTTAAGATGCGTCCGAGTCTGAATATGATGGCTCGCTCGTATTCCTTTACAATCTGTAATAAATAGCTGATGTCACGCAAGGGTTTCCAGAAGCCATGTGATGGCTTCCAAACTAAGCACACACTAGTTTAAGGCACTCTCGAGTCTCAAATACAACACGCATTTCTGTACTGGCTGCTTTTGAGAATTTTAGCCTAAACTTTATCGTCAAAAAGTAAACAGCAAAAGGAACAATCAGGACAATATTCCACAAGAAATATTCTTCAGACTGTGGCACCATCTATCAGCAGCAGAAGCTACAGCATGTCACCCGGGCAGCACCCAGCACTAGGAGCAGCCGTCAGGGAGATCCTGGCAACAACAAAACAAAGCGCAGCTTATGTGCCCCAGCAGAGATTCTTCCAGCTCCAATTCTGAGGCGGTATATTAGCCACAACAAAGCAGGAGCTGTTTCCTCCGGTCTGGAAACTGAAAACATCAAGCTCAAAGCGATCACAGATGATGAATTCTCTAACAATCTGTCACATACAGCCACATACCTGTACACACTTACACATTTATATTCACACATTTCATATTTACACACATACATATATAGGGAGAGATCTCCTTAAAAACAAAAAATTACAATACCCATCCTCCAAGAGTAGTTATGCATTCTTGCAATTAATACTGATCTTCCAAACTAGCTTATATACTAATGACAACTGGGTAGATGGAGTAAAGATGTCAATGTTAAAATCATTTTGACTAAGTCCTGTAATTGCACTTTTCTTTTTGGTTTAAAGATCAATGCACTGAAATGTTGGGGCTTGCTACATACTGTCTGCTGTAGTTCAAGAAAGAGGAGAGTTAGATTAATTTGTGTTTAAAACAAATAAATAAAATAGAGAGCAATAATTACCATTAGGAAGCATCTGCATTGCTTAAAGTTTTAATCCAACTTAGCAGTGAACAATTTACCTTTATGCACATCCAGATTGATAGAGGAAATGTAATAATAGTTAAAAAAAGTGAAGCGATGACCAGGATCCATCCACACAAACCGAAGTCAGTATTATCGTCATCTGCAAGAAAGGAGAGAAATTAGGAAGTTCTTCCCTGTGAGGGTGGTGAGGCACAGGAGCAGGTTTTCCGGACAGGCTGTGGCTGCCCCCTCCCTGGCAGTGCTCAAGGCCAGGCTGGATGGGGCTGGGAGCAACCCGGTCTGGTGGAAGGTGTCCCTGCCCATGGCAGGGGGTTGGACTAGATGGTCTTTAAGGTCCCTTCCAACCCAAACCATTCTGTGGTTCTAAATTTTCAGATTTTTAAAACCAAGAGTGCCTGTTAAAGAATGTGCCTACAACTGGATATTTATGTTGAACATTCCTTGAGATAAGCCACTGTACTCCTCTGGCCAAGCTCATTAGGGCTAGACCAGAAGTCAAATTAAAAGCCAAATTGTGCTTTCATTTTCACTAGTCTCTAGAAGTTGCACAAGGCAGCTGAGGGCAGAACGTGGTCTAAGTCACATTTATGCAGAATTAAGCATGCTAACATTTAAGTAGAGACTCTCAAATGCCTCCCTCTTCCCCAGTTTTCTCCAGCCGAATGACCAATAGGCAGCAGTAAAAATCCTGTTCCAGTGTCCAAGGAAGTCAGAGCAACACTTGCTTGAGGAGTGACATGCAAATGCCCCGCAGCTACCAACTAGCGACAGGACGTGCAGAACTTGGTTTATGCCCCAGCTCTCATAGCTGCAGATCGAAGAAAACCACAGCTGCGGTGTCCAGGACGTAGGATAAGATGCAGTGCAAGATTAGCTGGACATGAAATAAAGTCTCTATAAAGCATTTCTTGGCCAAAGACTCCTTATGCTTAGAAAACAAGCACAACAGCTCTCTGTCATGAAATGACACCAACTGAAGGTACTTCCAGAAGCAGTTTCAAATGCTACACAGCTAAAAAAAGCAACGCACCATGACAAGACGCGGACATGCTGGGAAGCATTCAGAGAGCTTTAGGAAGTGCCTTATCCTGCCCGCTAAGACTCCGAACAGGCTGCCAGCAGCCCACTGCCAAGTGGAGATATCTCAGGGTGAAACTGAGCACTGACCACCACCACTTTCCTGCTGTGAAGATACTGAAATTCATCCTTCTCACTCCATCCTTTAACAAGCCAAAAGTACAAAGTGCCAAGAAACACCCATAAAGCTTAGAAAAACTCAATTCTCACACTGAGATGGAAGAATGTTGCTTCAGGACCACGCTCCCTGATTTTGCTGGACCATAAATACTCCCTCACAGTGCTGCAAATACCCAAACCTTCTCCTAACATGATCAATGCCACAGGCACTTAAACGACTGGAGTCTTGTTACCTAATAGACTGCATTCAGCAACTTGTTAGAAAGAAACTGCATTAAAGAATCTGGAAGTTTTAGTTTAGTTCTACCTGGAATTATATAATGAATTGTTTTCTGCACTCACCAAACACAACTACCATTCAATTCGCACAACAAAACTGGCCAGTTATAAGAAATAAGTCTCCGAGTCCCCACTGTAACCAGTTATTTTAAGTAGAACCAATTTATTATAAAGAAAAATCTTGATTTTGAAAAACATCCATTGATTTTAACAACTCCAGATATCATGCCCACAATAGAACTCAACATGAGCAGTGTATGCCTCGGGTAAAGAGGGCAGTGAGATGTCATTAGATATCGCTAACCTTGCAAGTGAGTAACAGCAAATTACAGGATATACTTTGAAAATTTAGATCCCCAATATTTGACTAAAGTCACAGAAGTCAGCAAAATAACTGGGGACCAATACTGACGTTTCCAGTCCTTTTTCACTGACTGTGGGTCTTAGAGCTAGTCCTAGCCTTTCAAGTAAGATGGAATATGGGGGTGGCAGAGAATAATCAGTTTGTGTCTCACACAGCATCTTGAACTTTAGGAAGCTGCTCAAAGGTCCTGAAGCCAGTTGGCTGTCTTCCCTATCATCTGTATCCCTGTCACATGCCCGTATAACAACCCTCAAGGCCGTGTAATATCACCCATCATTTTAAAGTTCCTCCTTAGAAAGTTACCTAAAGATAATGCCCCGGGGTTTGTTATTAGTGGATATACCAGATTAAAGGAGTAATTTCCAGGCCTTCTGTGAAAGTCAAGCAAATGCATTACCTACACATACCGGTATTAGGCAGCTGCCAGCATTAAGCAACATCTGCAAACTCATCAGTGAAGGGAACATTACCTTCCGTTTAGCAACAAGGTATTAAGTCAGCTTAAAACCATAAAAAGTATTCGCACTCTGCACCAATACGGAGGAAAAGTCTCCCTCGCTCTTTCACTTCAGAACTTTTATAAACCTCAAAGAGCCGAGGACCTTGCTTAGTTCCACTCTACACTTCAACACCAAACCTTCACCACCAACCACCTGCCTGCTCTTTCCAGAACTACAGTGTGGGAAAAAATGATCCATTTGCTCCCCTGTTGAACAGGAAGGCAGAAGTCACAAATTATGTAAAATTTCAAGACTGAGTAAGCGCACGCTTTGTTTAGCAACACTGGTTGTCCCATCGTGGTGTATTTCACCACACAAAAAGCGAGAGAAACCCTGTCTTTTGAAAAACTATAGGAAATACAAGAAACATGCTTGGCATCTGTGGAATGAGCTTTTCTTATTGCAATTTTTGAACTCATGGGACTCGGATAACTTCATCAATGGGCCTTCTTGTCAGATTTCCCAGTGAGGCTCATTGATTCTGGATTCTGAATATCCACCGGTTTGACAGCACTGAAACGGGACTGACGCGATGGTGCCGGTACGACGCGCAGGCTCAGCTGCACCCCTGGCAGGTGGCGCGGACCCCTGCCCACCCAGCGTGCTCAACACCAGAGATTTTGCACCACACGAAGTGCTGGCACAGCAGCCCGCCCCCAGCCCTCCTCATCCGTCACGTACGCACATGTTTTAACAACGGCAAACTGGATCTTTGGTTTTGGCAGGCGGCAAAGAACAGCTTGAAGAGATATTCTTTTCACCAAGTCCCCACAAAACAACTAGAGAACTATCGAAAACCGGCTTTCAGCGTATTTTGTGATCTGGAGGCAAAGCAAGAATAAAAAAGATTGTGTTTTATTTCTTAGCTGCATCTGGAGCATTCAAGATTAGATGAAGAGAACTAGAGTGAGAAACAAGGACAAATGGTTTTGTAGAGAGGTTCTGCTGGGGAACTCTGGAGAACTGGGTGTTGCTTCTCCCTAAGCCAGGCTCCCCATGTGACATTTCTGATACCATCCTATAACCAAGTTCAAAAAGGAGAAATGCAATTTACTCCTCCCAAAGAAAAGCAAAAAAAACCCCAACAAAACCAAAACCTTCCTCATAACAGCAGATACAGGATCATTAGCAGTAATTGCTGGGGATATATATTTAAATATTAATATACTGTAATGTATGCAGCTGCTGAAAAGGCCCTGAGAAAAACAACGTAATGGCTTTAAAAAAAAAGAGACACCACCACCAACTCGTGTGATGTTAAAAACAGAGTCCACTGCATTTTCTCCACTGCTATTGCTGTTGGGAGCGTCGCTCGTTTCAAAGGTGCCATAACGTGCAGAGACAAGGCCCAGAAAATGTTAACTTGCAGGAACTCCAGCAACTCAACTTTGGTTCCCTCTTGCTGGATTTTCTCAAGTGCTGAACACTCTGTCATGTATCCCTATAGCTTCAGTCCAAACACTTGCAATATTCTTGCTCTTTTATTATCAAGATATTAAAAACTCACACCGGGAATTTAATTGGGGAATCTCACTTGAGGACCGTCTGCAATAGATGACGTACCTCTTCAAGCAATAGACCACGAGGAGAAAGCATATTAAAAAAAAAATGAATTCAATCAGCCTTTGATCCCTTTAAGGCTGACTGGAACAGTTACCGTTGCTTTAGGAAGAAATCATCACTTGGATCATCAAACGGTATTAACAATTTATAAGAAACATTTAGTGCTGGAGGCTGACATGAAAGGGGAAGTTCTGGTTACTGCCTGACGTGTGGCACACACTTCACTTGCCATTTATCCTCTTCCACGAGGACGACACAATCTGAACACGCACATGGCTGCCAAACAGCGCACCAGGCTCCCAGGTGCCATGAGAGGAAGGGACCTTCCCCCACAGCCACGCAAACAACCCACCGGAACGTATAGGGGAGATCAACCGGACGGAACACAAGGCAAACAACACCAGGGAGAGAGCTCCACTTTCACGCTGCTTGGTCAAATCCAAGATAGAATAACACCCTTCAGTCGTTCTCAGGCTATGACAGTTATTCAACTGTTTGCTAATTAGCAAATCAGGAACAATCAGGAATACTACTTTCAATGAGAACTAATGTCTTTTCAGATACTTCTCAATGCATTTCACATAGGAAACGGCCAAAATTATTAAATCTAATAACCAAGAGTATGTCTAATGTCATTTACTCCACAGACAGTTTATTATGACAAAAATAACTGGCAGCCAGCTTTAGCCTCCAAAACAACACAACACACAGGACGTACAGAAGAAACAATCTCAGTAGCGCTTAAAGTGCAAGGCTTGCCAAGTCCCAGACAAGGTTAGCATCAGAGTGGCCACTGTCAGGTATTAGTAACTAACACACAGAATGAAATGTAGATCCTCTCCAAGGAGATGAGAACTAGCACGTGCTATTGGGCACAGGGCCCAAAGAGCTCTACAGTTATTTATACAACAACTCAGACTGCCCAGCCAAAGTGTTCGTATATAAAGCGGTCTTAGAAATACATTTCCTTCTCCAGCTGCAAAGACAAAACCATAAAATAAACCATGACTTTCCTGCTGTTTCTGAGCAACAGAAGTAACAGGAAAATGCTCCAGCTTCTAGAGACAGAAACTGTTAGTTGTGTTATTTCAGTGCTTATCTCCAAAACTCCCCGACCTGGGTTACACTCACAGCTACCAACTGACTAGAACAGTGATACCAAGAAGTAAAAATTAACTATAGCTCCATCTTCGCTCTTGAGGAAACAGAACTGACTTTTATCACGTCCTCTATTCGCACCTATGTAACATCTTGCTCAAGGAAACAGCACTAGCGGTGTAAGCAACAAATCCCCAAATTCTTTTTGTTCTCATTTACTGGTGCAGCGCCTCGGGGATCACTTCTGACGACACTGCTCTTAATTATTTGTTTCGCTTTCCCCACAGCGATCCCAGTTACCGTACAGAAACACAAAACACACACCAAAAAAAAAAAAAATCCCAAGTTACGCAACTGGGCCCAACTCGCAGCGATGCTCTTCCACCTTCCCTGCGCGGCTCCTCAAGAGCTGCGGAGAGGGGAACCGCGGCT